GGGGGGGGTTAACGTGATATAAATGCTAGAAAGCAACAGCAGCTCATTATTTTCTTTAAACCAATTTTGAAAGGCTTGTTATGGCTTTTGATAAGTGAAACGATCTTATTAACCTTGTCCTGTACCATCACTAAAAGAGCAAGAGATATGTGTTAGAAGATTAACTTATCACTATGCTTAGGCCACCAGAGAGATGGGTCATGAAAAATAAATCTAAGTAGCATCTCCAGTGGAATGTGGCAACAAAAGTTGAGCTTGGTTTGCTAGTAATTCTGCATTACTATAGTCATAACACAAAAAATCATCTATTGATTTCTCTCTTATTGAATAAATTTACAAATAGTATTTCTTTTTTGTTGCAGTTTTGGCAGAGGGAAGCTGCATTGCTGAGGCAACAACTAGAGAACCTGCAAGAGAATCATCGGTAAGCTCTTCTTAGCATAATTTTTCATGTTGTGAGTGAATAACTTATCCAACTACCAATAGGACTAAACTAAAGGCATGTTGACCATATTGTTAAATCCATAGGGTTGGACTTATTTTGGTAACTTGATGCTCCTTGTATTTTTATTTTAGTTAGTGAATCCCAAACCAAACCCCTCCACAGAGGCCAACAATGGAACTTTCCACTTTCCCTTAGGTGACTCGATCTCCAAACCTCTTGATTGGAATTGGAATGTCCGTGCCCAATTGGTGACTCGAATGCCCTTAGTCTTGGTTGGAATTGTAATACTCTCCTGGTGGCACTATTGATTTTTGAGAATTACAAGTGAATTCCTTTGAGATGAAGGTAGCCATTATCTAATATTGAAATACTGCTCCTCACAGAAGTCATCTCATTTAATAAACCGAAATCTTTCCTTCTTTGACTTCTTTGAATACCTAGTCCATTTTACTTGGAAAGTTTTTTGAAGAACTGTCCCCAAAACAGATTGTTTTCTTGAAATCAAACAAAAATGGTTTCCAAAAAACAAAGCAATTTAAGGTAGTTTTTTTTCCACAAAACTAGCACAAATATTCTTAAAAGCATATTTCTCAAAGGTAATAGTTAATACAAATACATAACGTTTCCCCAAATTACGGAACTTTCTCCAAAACCTAACTTCCAGGAATTAAACCAATAGCAAATCAAAATGTCACCTCAGAATCTTCTATTCCATTGAGTAATCTATTGGAGCTTTTATTGTTCCAGAAGAGATGAATTATTCCTTCACTAAACTACTTGTTATTTAACCGATCCAAAAAAAAAACACTTGCTATTTAGCTCTTAGCAATTTATCTCAAAATTTTATTGAAGTACTTTTTTTTTTATAAGGTAATGTAAATTTCATTTAAAAAGTACCAAGAAGATACAGAAAGCATACAAAACTTCAGCACTGCCGAAAACTATTACAATCTCAAAACTTCTATAAAATCAATACTCTTATTTAGGAATTCCCCTCCCAAATAAACTGACTTCCTCTCAGCATTCCCCTCCCAAAGAAACTGACTTCTCATGGAATCAAATTTCTTTTCCTCACTGACTGGGATGGGGAAAAGAGACATCAAATATGTAGGAATTCCATCCAGCACACTATTAATTAAAGTGAGCCTCCCACCTAAGGATAGATATTGAAGTACTTTACCTCCTAAGCTATCTTTTGAGCACTTTAAGCATCCTTCTATGAAATGCAGGCCCTGACTCCATTCCATTGAATTATCCCGTAGCTAAGGGCACAAGTTTTCTTTGCTTTTCGTTTTTCTTCTTGCTTGTATTTCCCAAACTCCACAATCAATATCGCCTCCTTTCCTCTCCTTTTTCTTTTCTTTCTTCCTCCTCTCCCGCACCACCAATAAACACCCTCAGTCCATAGCTTATTCTCCTTCTCATTTTCCTCTCTACATATTGGTGTCAAATAAAGATATAGAGATAAAGATAGAGATAAAGAAAAAGAAAAAGGAAAGCCTTGATAAGTTGTTTGCTTGTAGCGGGATAGTGTTTAAAAGAAGAAGAGAAGAGTAGCGGGTAAGAGATGAGCCAAGATAATAACCAAAAAGAGACTATCATGAAGGAATATAAAATGGAAAAGTCTCCTTCACTGTATGATGAAAGGCTAAACTCATGTAAAAAGTTGAGCAGGTAATGTTTGGGAAAGTTCTAGTACTAGATAGTTCAAGAAAACTACATGCCTTACTGTTGTTTATAAGTGGTAATTCTCTCACTCTATCTTCTCTCTAATTCTCTTCTTCATTAAAAGCCAGGTCTAATAAATCTCCTCCCATCGCCATCAGAATCAATAAGGAAACCATTTGTTCCAAACTTTGCTTCTGCAAGCCAGGGCATCGTTGCCACTCTTTCAGCCACATAAAAAGCCAAATAATCTCCACATCCTACAATCGAGCGACCTACTAATCCTGTGTTCAAGTGGACCTCCAAAATAGGACCAATTTTGGTGATTCATACATGATTTTGCTACGAACATATCCCAGCAGGACATAGGGATACTGGTTGTTATATTTAATTCCATCATTACAATCTTAGTTATGGCTCATACCAGATTATTATGGAGCAAACCACAATCATATCAAATGGAGATGTAAAGACGAATGTTTAGAAAATTCCACATCAAAATTGAAGCAACAGAAGATGTGCAACATTTGTCTTGTCTGCTCGAGAACATACATACATAAATGTTCGCTTCAATGCATTCACCGGTGCCAGAACAGATAAAAGGTATTCATGTGTAAGGTCATTGAGATCAGGTTCACTGCAAAATGAACGAACCCTGCAATAACCTTTAGGGGAGAATTATTTTCTTTACGTCCCTTTTTCCCGGGGGGTTGTACTTAATTGGATTTATATAATACTTATCTTTTTGAAACTAAATCTTATGAAAGCCTCAGCTACCAGAAAATTATACAGACCTCAGTTGCCAGTGACAAAGTAACATACATTCATCTACCAGTATAGTTGTGTTGGAATCAACAAAATACCTACTAACTACGTCACGAAATCTTTCCTGTTTCCTTAAAGTAACAACATGGGATAATAAACTTTTTCACTTTATTTGAATATAGTATAAGAAGTTCTGAACTGTAAGGTATAGCCTATTTTAGTTACTTCTTGAGACACGGATTTCTTTCCTCTGTACGGCACTTCTCTCATGCTCAGGCAATTAAAGATATTTTATTTCCTAGCACAAAGAGAGAAAAACAGCAGCACATAAACTAAACTTGTGCCAACAAAGGAAACTTCAAAGGTTCTACTAGAGGTAGGTGTGCAATGTGTAGGGATGCCCCTCTATTATCTTCATGGATGTTGACTTCCAAGGTACTTACTTATGAAGCAGGAATAACCAGAAAAATTAGGCCTTAATTTTCAACCACTTTTCCAGCAAACACTGAAGCGAACAGATTAGATAGCTTGAAACATTTTAGTTTTGAAATAAGAATGCTCAAAAACCCAAATGTCCACTCGAGACTCTCCCAAAAGTATCAAATCTGTAAGTGCTAACAGAAAGGCATTTAAGATCCTACCAGGCAGGTGGTGTTAGAAAATGAAAGAGCGATCTGGAGAAAATTTTTTAACTTTGGGAACACCTATTTATGGGGTTGAATATATTTCTCCAACATGGGACAGTATAGCTTAACATTCTAGCCTGGCCTGCCCCTTTAAACTCAAGGTGGGAAACCAACTTAAGTCGCTTATTTTGAATAAAACTTGGAACAGAATAAATTTACCTGAACAATGAATANCCACACACACACACAAAAAAAGCCAGAGAAAGTTATGGTTTATGTGCAGCACACACAGAAGGAAACCTATCCTCAAACACGAGAAAGAAAGGCACTATGAAAATTTTCCCAGACATCACCAGTGTAGCAACCAACTCTTAAAGTGGCAGTTGAACAGTAACCAAGTGGTGCCTAAAGAGAACAACAACCGCAATATTGGCAGGAAAGATGTCTACAAAATTTCTTATAGCATGCAAGCCCAAAATAGTGGCAGGAAAGAGATGTGATTCCATGCCACTGATTACCCCAAGAACAATGATGAGAAAAATTTAAAATCGTTAAAGGAAAAACTTTGGTAAGGTGGATGTTGTTAGGGTCAGACAGCTGGACGAGAAAGTGACTTAGGTCTATACTATGATCGTGGAGTCTCTCATAACCAGCGAGAATATGAGAGATATTCTAACTAGGCATTGATATATTTAGAAGAAGATACACATACCTATGGTGCAATAAAACTTACACCAACATTCTACCAAGTGTTGCATAACAATAAAAAAGGATGAGGCATTCCCGTCGAAATATACTTCTTGAAATACATTCACTACCCTTAATCGATCAAGGGAAACTCAAATGACTAGCCACTGTATTCCCTCGACAAGAATTATATTAAGCAACAATTCACAATGAACACAGAATCTCATATTAATAAACTGTTAGCATGGACTTAAATGGAAAACCACCTTATACTTAATATATTACAGTACAAGGTAAACGGGCGGGTAGGATATGGTTCGGGTCAAAAACGGGTAATAAAAATGAATAAATTATCCAACCCGACCCATATTTAATACGGATAAAAAACGGGTTAACCGGCGGATAATATGGGTAACCATATTATCCATGACTTCTTGCATATGATCAATTTTGGGAGAATTCTTAGTCTCCCTAACTTGAGGAACCCCCAATTTGAGGTTTTACAAATGTAAAAGTTAGACACATTGGTTATCCATTGGTTATCCATTTTGTAAATGGATAATATGGTTCTTATCCATATTTGATCCGTTTTTAAAAAGTTTATTATCCAACCCATTTTTTAGTGATAATATGGGTGGTTAACTGTTTTCTTTTAACCATTTTGCTACCCCTAATTATAACAATTACTCTATAGTAAATCAGATGCAGATCTGGGAGGACTGCACATGATGTGCCTCACCAGTATAAGCTTACAAAACCACTAAAGTTGGAGACTGTGACCTAATCATTGATAAGCTAATATCATATGGTATTGCGGATATCTGTGGGAGCTCAAACTGTCAAGTTCGTCACACCAAAACACCACGTATTGTGTAGCTATAGCTTTTTTTTTCTTTTTTTATAAGTCAATATAGTTACTTCTAGAAGCGAAATGAATACTGCTAGTCTGTAGTTAAGTCATGGATATTATGTTAAAGGCCTAGATTGGCTTAAAAGATTGTTTCTCCTGCAGACAAATGATGGGTGAAGAGCTATCTGGACTGAATGTCAAAGATTTACAAAACTTGGAGAAGCAACTCGAAATGAGTCTTCGTGGAGTCCGTATGAGAAAGGTATGAACTTTCACCTCCAAATGTCCCATATATTATTGTGTATAAATAGTACTGACGACCACTACTTTCTGTAGGACCAAATTATGATTGATGAGGTGCAAGAACTAAACCAAAAGGTCAACCACATAACTGCAGCCACTTGTTGTCATTATCCTATGAATTTCTCTGAGAAGCTAAACTCCATCTGTTTCAATGCAGGGAAATCTCAGCCATCAAGAAAACATGGAACTTTATAAGAAGCTAGACCTAGCTCGTCAAGAAAATACGGAATTGTATAAGAAGGTATCGATGTATATCCCTAGAAAAGATTTCACTTACGCTAGTAGATAATAATTTCCTAGTGTATTAAAAATCAAGACGAAAAACTTTAGTCATTCTGCTTCAAAAAAATTTCATGTTCTGCCGGAAATCAGGTTTATGGAACTAGAGATGCAAATGCAGTGAGCAGAAATGCCATGAGTTCAAACAGTTTACGCGTCAATGAGGACCCTCATGCACCTCTCCATCTCCAGCTAAGCCAGCCTCAGCAACAACACTATGAAACACCAGGAACTACAAAATTGGGGTAATTTTCACGTCCATATAATTTGAATGCACCAAACAAACTCCCACTATCTGGACCCTTGATTCTTGTCTAACTGGAATGCTGCAGGCTATCACTGCATTAGTGGAGTTGATGCAGACTGCCATTAAGCTCTCTTCTCGATCAAGTACTCCATGCTCACGAATATATGTTAAAATTATTAAGGACTGGTATAGAACCCGTAGATGTAAGGGGAAAATTGGTCAATTGACCTGGTAAATGCTAGCAAGTTGGTATGTAATAGGTATCCACAAAACAGCCACCCAAATCATGTTTAACTATGAATAAAGAAAATGTTAGCACAGTTAATGTTCTTTGACTGTCTTGATACTTCATGCTTATGATGCATATGCCTATTAGTTAGGAATGCACTTAATCTGACAGATTAAAGCTAAATATAAATACTATGCAGAAAAACTTATGCAGACAACAGTAGCATCTCAGATAAAATACTCGAGAAAAGCACCAGAAGCAAACAGAATAAGAGCAGACCAAAAAACTGACCAAAGAGTACACTAAGATATACCTAAAAGCTGCATCAATATGCATTGCAAAAGCATCATCAAGGAGATACTAAACTCATATTCACATCCATGCCGACTTTCAGCATCTACCTAGAAAAAGAACATGTAACAGTAATATTGGTAAAGTCCTACCCAGCAAAGATGAAAAACATCAGTTAATGAATTCTTATAGTGGTAGGTCACTGAAAAAGAAGAAAAGAATGAACTACATGAAAGACTAAATGATGGGGAAATATGCACGGCGAGAATTAGATCAGTTCAGTGCACGAGATATGCCCCGTAAAAGTGATCACCACATTCTTAGCTAGTTAAAGTGTTGCTTAAATGAAGTCATTTTCTGGATTCCAAAGATATCGGACTGGCATCCAATAAATGCCATCTCAATGTACTACAAAAGCCAAAGTTACCATAGAAATTTCAGTTTACTATCACAAGTTTGAGATTTGGTTCAAAATGCCATCTCTATTGAGATAATCCGCCACTCAAGTGAAATTGCATGTCATCCTAGAGTTAAACAATATGGCAAAAACTATTTTTACCCCTAGCCACTATTCTGGAAAGCTAGAGTAGACAATCACGTTTCTAATAATTTTCATGGGCAAGGAGTGATGGATGAAAAGCAGCATGGATAGAGAAGCACGTGCCATTTTTTTCATTTTAATTTTTTCATCACTTAACCATGCAAAATAATGAGCAGCCCGAATGGCATCCCATAAGATGCGTGACTTCATCATGTGACAAATTAACTGAAGTTGATATGGAGATGAACACAATGGATTAACATCCATATCTCAGGAAAAAATCGAAGAATTGTTTCAAGGGTACTAAGATACTACAAGAAACTGATGAAACAATTACTATTTATTGACTTGAATATGTGGACTCTGCCTCAAATAATTCGTCATAACTTTTTTTTATCAAGAATCAATTCAGCCAAATTTCGGTTAAGACAAAGAAAATGCAAAAACAAAACAGTAATCTCAAACATTTTATACAGGACAAATATATTCTGAAACTATGTGAAAGTGAATTATATGCTAACATAAGTTTGAACTTTAAGGTGTTTAACATATGTTAAATACAAAAAAATCAAAATTTTTAGTGATCCGATAACATCAACATCTACTACAATAATGGTACTACAATAATAACATCAACATCTACTATTTATTGACTTGAATATGTGGCCTCTGCCTCAAATAATTCGTCATAACTTTTTTTTATCAAGAATCAATTCAGCCAAATTTCGATTAAGACAAAAAAAAAATGCAAAAACAAAACAGTAATCTCAAACATTTTATACAGGACAAATATATTCTGAAACTATGTGAAAGTGAATTATATGCTCACAGAAGTTTGAACTTTAAGGTGTTTAACATATGTTAAATACAAAAAAGTCAAAAATTTTAAAAGGATATAACTATCGATTAGTATTGTATGATGCAATTAAATTTATAATCTAGTCAAAATATAACAATACATCCAAAAAAATTCACGGCATCATGAACTATGCACACACCTTATCACAAGAGTCCACATCTATAAAAAGCTTTCCAAAAGGAAGTATAGCAAAGACAAAGGTTAGGTGTTGCTTCTTGTCCTAGCATGTGGTTTATACTTACGTATAAGGTAAAATGCATTTACTTTAATAATATGGGAGCAACATTTTCTAAGAGAAAATATAAACAGGTAATACTAATAGGATCACTAAGATTTTGCCATCTTATGTGATCCGATAACATCAACATCTACTACAATAATGGTACCTCAGCCCTCTTTGTTTCTACCTACCAATATGAATCAATTTCCCAAATTCAGGCAATAGGATCATGTGGTCAGAATCAAAATTTTAACAACATATAGTAAACTAGAACTTAACTATGGATTGGAATAGGGAGAAACACAAATTGAATGAAAAACCAAACTACACCACTTTCCGAAGATCTTTTCCTTCTCTCGTGAATCAAACATCAATTGCAACGATTTGATGGATGACTCATTTGGATAGATGTAGATGACCCCCCCCTCCCCCCGAAAAAAAACCCTCTAGAGACATAGTAAGAAGTTTTCTCCTCATACTGCTCAAGAAAAATGATTGATTCGAGGTTTGGTCGGTGTAATCTGTATGGAATTCTATCTAATAAACGACAAATGGGTCCATAAATTGAATGCAAACACATAACTTTGGGCATCATATTAGTTACTGAGAAGCAAAAATTTCCATGGTTTAACTTTAGATTTTTTTGTGTGGAGCAAGAAAGTATTTAAACAAATAAATTAACTATACAAGATGAATTCTTACTTGCAATGAAGAAGCCTAATTTATTTATTTATTTATTTTCATGATGGTGGTTTGTGGAGCAACTTAGAGTGCGTTTGGGCATAAAAAAAAATTCCTTTTTTTCCGAAAAAATTTCACTTTTTTCGAAATCAGCGTTTGTTCGTAAAATTTTCAATTTTCACTTGAAGATGCATTTTGGAAATTTTTGAAAATTTGAAAACTCTAAAAAGTTGTTTTTCAAAATTTTCACTCAAATCACTCACAAAACTTCAAAAACAACCCAAACTGAAATTTATGTCCAAACACAACTCTAAATTTCAAATACCATTTTCACTTGAAAAAAAATTTCACCATTTTTTGGAATTTTACAATTCTTATGTCCAAACGCCTACTTAGGCCATCTTGACTAATTCATCGGGTTTATGTTATCTCCCACCAACATAGGTGTCAGATAATTCGCACAAAGAACTCACCTAGTGTCGTCTTTGCTGGAGTCGAACATTGGTTCTCAATTTTGTCACTCCAACTCTTTGATGGCAAGACGACTCCCCTTTGAAGCTATAGGGGCCTTATTTCATTATAGCGCAAGAATAAAGAAAGACCAAAGATCTGATATAATCAATATAGGGAAAGTCTATTGGATTACGAGATCCTACATCACTAACTTGAAGGAAAAAAAAAACTTGCAATATGTCAAAGACTCCCAATCAAGGGTACCTTGGCGTCGAAAAGTTTACTAGATGCGAGTTGGTATTCTAGTCCATCTTCTAGTACCAGACCATTGTTGTGAAGCTGCCCGTGTTCTTTTAATATGTGAAGCCACTTGAAGTTACATGGGCTCGTACCATCGGCGGATTGAATGTACATGTTGTGAGTTCTAAAAGATATATATCTAACTCTATCTATACTTGGTTTTCTTTCTATACTTGTTTTTCATACATAGAGTTCGTGAGTTAACATATTTCCAAAGGATTATTATTTCAGATAATGTCCACAGGAAGGAAAATGCACCACCTACACAACCATATAGCAGAGCACCAAGATTATACCACACAGGCATAAAGCATGATTATCTCCTGCTCTAACGTACAACCATTTTATATATCAATATATGGTTCTTCAAACTGGAATGATATATCAATAGCAATAAACGAAACAGAAAAACAAACAAAAAAAAAAGAAAAGTTTACATGTGACAACAAATATGCAGGCACCAAATATTCAACAACCATCAGTACTGTACCACTAGTAAAACTAATACTCCAGTACTCCTAAAGCTTAACATTGAATACAAAAATGATGCTTCTTAGAATCCTTAAAGAAATGAAACTCCAACAACTCTGAGCACAGGTGGATCCAACCCTCGGGTTTGAACATATGTGTGTGTGCGCGCGCTCTCTCTCTCACTGAATTCAAAACTGAATCAACATATGTGAGTAAGCTAGAGTTTTTACGAGCAAAAAGTAATAAAACTAAATAGTGCGTGCTACAAAAGCAAATTATTTGATCGACTACTATACAATGAAAGAAGCGACATAACGGACCTGAAAAAACGAAGCGATGGCTTTTCCGTAGTTGCTAAAGTCGTGATTACAAATGATGTATATTTCCCAACTTAAGATCTGCAAAAGTTCCAAAAAGAAACAAAACATTAAAATAAAAAGGGATACAAGTTAACAAAAATTATGTTACTAGCAAAAGAATTATGTAAAAAGCCTAAAGATATTGAATTTCGCATTTGTGATGTCAGCTGTGTTCTCTTGCGGAGCTTTTCTCAGGAAATAAACAGCAAAAGCTGAATTGAATCACGCCATTAGCATGCATTACAATTTCATATAGTGATTGATTGAACGAAAGAAGAAGAACGTTTAACAGAAATTGCAATTGCGTACTAAATCAAACAAATTGAGTAGAAGATGTACGGAATTTTGAAGAAAGAGAGAAGGATTTTCGATTGCATTTCGCTTCAGAAAGGGAGACAGGAAGAGTTGCGTTAATACCTAACAGTAAAAGAGGTTCGATAGAGATGGCGAGAGCGGTCAGAGAAGATTGAATGGGCAGAGAGACGTTAATAAATATCTTAGGTGGAGAACGGGCTTATATACGGATGAATGAGGGTACCGATGCGGGGTATGAGTGTGGGGGTCGGGTTTATTTTAGGAATTTTTACCCAAAAATGTTTAAGGTTTGATATAATTACATTTAGTATATCTAATTATCAATTCTATACCATAAGATTTTTTAACTATATGTTAATTGTACCTTCTATCACTCCTATATTTATGGTACCGTATATTCTTCCAAATCTCTCCCCCACCCCCACACCCTCATCCATGTATTACCACACACCTAGAAACTAGAAAAACCAGAAAAACAATTGAAACCCTCTGCTAAATCCAGAAAAACAATTCTCTACCAGTAACGTCCAAAATTAAGGTTTTTTCTTCTACAACCAATCAAAATTGAAGTCAAATCTTCAAAGTTTCATACACAGCAATAACTTTTGATGGTTATAATTTCGGGTTCCTTCAGTAATATAAGAGGAAAGAAAAAGAGAGCAACAATTCCACAATTGACAGCCATTAAAAAGCTTTGAAGCTTTGAATTCAAATTTAGGTTTTCAA